CTTTTCATTCCCCTTTTCTAAGCAGCATGCCGAGGTTGTAGTACATATCAGTTTTAAATTTAAATTTTATACAATCTACAAGGTAAAAACATACTTGGGTCATAAAAAGAAATAAAAACAAAACCAAATATACATACAGTATTTGAATGTAAACTTCAAAAGGTCAAATGAGTTCCCGTACATGCACTATGCAGGGACGTAATTATGACACAATCAGTGGAGAGTAGTTAAGATGGAGTGGTCTATGCTGGTTTTAAAAGGTTATAGACTGAGACATGGTCCAGTGGTCAGATGTCAATGTGCAGTGAAATACAATAATGAGGATAGCATACATTATACAGCCTATACAGGACAGTGTGGACATTCATGTACATTGTAACACACAGAGCTTAGTGTTTTCATTGTCAGTTTCAACCTGACATGTGACAATTGTGTGATTTGATATTTGCATATTTATGAAAATGCCCTCTCCTGCTTTTCTCTGATTTGATAATTAGCTGGTAAAAACTAGAAAAAATGGCTATTAAAAAGTGAAGGATACATACAAGGTCCGGGTAGCGCAAAGAAAAAAGTAGATGGATTTTCCCTGTCCGATTACAGACGTGAAAATCGAAACGACAACATGCAATTTACAGTATATTACATCTCACTGTTGTATTTGATCTTATACAAAGATATTTTTTTGGTTAGTTTTGTTTTTATTTTTTAAAGAAAGCCCTCTGCGTTTGTGCCTCTTCCCTCAGCCCTGGACAGTGAAAAGCCTGCACAGACACAATGATGGACACAGAAATGCATTGTAGATATTAATATTCAAAAGGAGCACCGTGCAATAAGGGATTTACATTATACTGCAGGTAATGTCTCTGGTGCTTTTGATAACCTACTTTAACCAGAGCTGCACAATATTACAAACTCATTTACAAGCATTTTACTCCAAGATTATTGAATATGGCAAATCTACATTTATGAATTTACTATATTGCTGGGCTTAAGGTGACATCACACATTCTGTACTATTCTAGACTGTTGTTGCATTGGAAATAGTCACTAAAATGTCACCAAAATGATCAGATTCAACATTTATGAATTTACTTTTCAGATATTTCATGACAAGAAGCAAAGTGTCAAGTGATAGTTTGTAGCTGATGTCATTCATGTGGGGGCATGATGCTATCTGAATGCAGTACTCTGTCAGAAGCTTTATTTTGACCTTGATATGATCTTTATATTAACACAATCTGATCAGAAAGAGCCAATTTAATTAGAACTACAACAGGCAAGCTCTCAAATAACAACACTGTCACAATTAGCCAACAGTTTTTCCCCTCATCTTTTGTTGTTCAAAATCAAACACAGAACCATGAATGCTCATATTGTTCACAGGCTCCTAAAAATGTGTTGTTTACATCTATTTTGTATTTGTTCTTGAGTTTTCATCTTAAAACTTTTTTGACTGTGTTAATTTGTGCATTGTGTCTCCATGATAACTGCATTTGCATAACCGAACATTCCACCAAAGAGATACATGCTGAACACCCCCAGCATGATCAGTTACTGCAAAGTATCAATTGGAAAAACTGGTTTTTGCTCCCCATCTTCAAATAGAAGCTCTAGTATAAGTAAAATTGTACTTGGTAAAATATCAGTAATAAGTCAGATTGAACTGAATATGGTTTTGTTTTTGAGAATGTTAAATGGTGCAAGGTAAAAAATGTGCTTTTTCTCAAACTGTGCTCAATTTGTATTCACAGGAAGCTTTTTCACAATTGTAACAGCCTATTTTTACTTCACCTCAGATATGCAAATGTGAGGTACGTTTTGTAAAGTTTTCTTGAAGACAAACGATCATAATATTGTGCAGCTCTTCAGTCACTGTGTCCTATTTCTATTATTTTATGTGAAAACAGAGCAGTGTGATAAACCCCCAGGTCTCCAGACTTGTTCATCCCTGTAAAACGCTGCTGCTCTCCACACAGGAGGCTCCTCACAGTCACCTTCAGCTCTCAAACTTAGGACTTTTCACTCAAACCACCAAATATTAAAACCAGTGGTGGGCCAGTTACGCAGTTATCACTTTTTCAATATCTTTTATGTTAAATCTTTTTTTTTTTTTTTTTTTTTACTTTTATTTAACCATTAATCAGTCCCGCTGAGATTTCAGTTTCAACATTAAACATTTTAGCAATAGTGTTATAATAACTCTAATTGCTACGGCCTGTTTAGTTTAGAAAATAAGACTTTTTGAATTGTGTGAATCAAATTTCCTTTTTCATGTTTCAAAACACTATTCAATTATGTACACTTTAATACTTTAATATACAATTTTAAATACTCACTTGGGTTATTTTAATCATATACTTTTTACTCTCATTAAATATATTTTTTAATAAGTAACATTCATTTATTTGTGACCAGTCCAACCCTTTCTGATCGAAGCTAAAAACACTATCAATACAATCATTAAAATGGCAGTCCCTTTGGTGGCCACTACACGGTGCCCTTCACCATTCTCCAACACCAACAGTCAGTCTTTATATCCCTGAAATACGTTATCTCACTAGTTTCTACTCATTATACATTCGGTCGTAAAGAGGAGTAATACATTACACAGGCTAAATAGAGCTATATTTACAATGGGGTCCAAAGGAATGGTGTCATTACTATGCTTTACTATGGCAGTGTGTTCTCTGGCATGCTTGTGTGTGCGTGTGGCCTATATTCACCACATAAGGGCAGTATTGCAATGGGGATATAAATAAAACAAACCCCCCACACCACAGTTAAAATGCAGTCATTTACCTTAGCCCATTGCCCCAAACCATTTCACGTAATATAACCCAGTATATATTAAACTAGAGGTGATTGATATGGACAGCGCTGTCAGTATTACTTATTGGATGGAGTACTGTGCAAAAGTTTCCAGTGGGTTTAGGTGAATGAAAATCTAGAAAAACACAAAACACATGGAAAGCCCCCGCCAAGGCACGGGCTCTACCTCACGACAGTGGCAAAGCGTTGATGATGTTGTTTTAAAGCTTCATTGCGCTACTTTTCTGGTGGGGGGGTCTGTCAGCAGCTTGTATCCATGGAGATGTTATTGCTTTGCCTGAAATGTTCCATGGTATGACAGTAAACAAACCTATCTAGCATTCATTCATTACTGGTGTTTCTATTGTTCAAAAATACAATAATTCTCTCTGTGAATGGGTTTGCCTCTCCATAGATCTGACCTGTTATGTAATCTATATTTGAGGAACATTCTAGACAAAGAAATAGCATTTCCATGAAGATAAGCAGGTGGCGGATCCTCCACTGAAAAAGTTATGCAGTGCACCTTTAAAGTTCAGTAATACTCACAATAGTCCAAAAATAAATAAATAAATAAATAAAAAAACATAAAAAATAATAATAATAATAATTAAAAAGCGAGATGACTGTTTTTAACAATAGCTAAAGATGTATAAAATTGTTAATACCATCCTGCATCAAACTGGGCACATGAAATTAGATGTGTTCTTCGCCAGTTTCAATTTAAAGGTGCATTGTGTAACTTTTCTGGTGGAGGGTCTATCAAATGCTTGTCTCCAAAGAAAAGTTATTGCTTTGTCTGGAATATTTCACAGTACGGTATTAAACCTTTCTATCTTCATGGAAACCAAACCAGACCAAGTTACAGGTCAGATCTTTGGAGAGACAATCCTGCTTCCTGTTTTTCTAGGTATTTTGAGCTATAAAACCAGCTATAATTTAATAGATGTAGTAGGTATAGATGTTTAATGTCATAATGTCCTATTATGGAATATTCCAGGCAGATGACAATAACATACCCACAGAAATAAACAGGTGACAAGTCCTCCACCAGAAAAGATACACTATGCACCTTTAAGTTTGAAGACACAATTGTACATACTGCTTCAACATTTTTTCCACGTTTTGCCTAAACTTTGGCACAGCACTGTACAGTATGTCTCGTTTCTATTTGTATGTATTTGTGGGACAATTTGATTATTCTCCAATGGTCCCTCTCTGAGTTTTAACTTGTGCTCCTTGTACATAAAAAATTCATATGCCCCGAGATTATTAGAGGGCAGATCCAAGGATGCAAACATTCAAAAGAAAAGTGGTGTGATGGTTACAAATGCAGTACGACGCTGTGTTCAACATTCAAAGCTCATATTCAGTTTGTGATTAGTTTTGGCTGAGTAATTGTTTGTGTGCACGATTTATGGAAATTAGCACAAAGCACCTGATGTTAGACACGTTTTGAGTAAAAGTCAAGGTTAAAGGGTGGTCTCTGTCTTTGCAGCAAAAACAGCAAGTTATACCCCTTATATTTATACAAAATGTCATTTTCTATTTCAGATCACAATATTTGTCTTTCAAAGCTACATCAATGAATTGCGTATGGTGGAAAAGTTAGTTGTTTCAGTTGTTCAGGTGATAGGCAGTTTAAAAGGTCTACAGTCTCAAACCTGGATAGAATGGGATGTGCCAGGATGTACGTTGAAAGAAAAAAACAAAAAAACAAATTAGTCAGTTTGAAGATGTTTTGTCAATGGAAATATTTCATTATAGATTTTGACCAAAAAATTTTCAAAATCTTATCAATACCAAAAACATAACTATATCTATACACTATAGATCATAACATTTGGACAATTCCAAAATATCTAGCTCCAACCAAAGAAATCAGGATTCTCAAATCTTTCAGGCAATCTTTTTTTTCAGCAAATCATTTTCTTCTAACATACTAACACTGCCAAATGTATGCAGATAATATTTTCAGCAATTACTTTATACAGAACTATTGAAAAAAACAACAACTTTTCCACCGTGATCTAACTCATCAATGTTATACCTTGTAGAAAGAAAACTTGAACACAAACAGACTGACTTCACATGCTGCTGAAGTTCAAATCAAAGTGTACATAAACAGCAGTGATGGTTGGACAAGTGCACGGGCTTTGGCCTGTTTTAGAGTCAAGGGGGTGAGGTTCATGGCTCCTGCAGGTCCCGTCCCAGTTATGCTCACAGTGCAAGTGGTTACTATGGGGACTACTCCATGCCGTTTCGGAGCATCTGATTGGCCGCGATGAGCATGACACTGATGATGAACGCCATGGCAAAGGCGCAGATCAAGCTCTTCCGCACACACGTTTGACGGTTCTTCTTCTTGGGATGGACTGCAAAATAAGCAAGAACAAAATACAGTTTCATTATATATTCCATTTTTAGATCTTATCTGAGACTAAATACTAAATTGCAAGTAAACTGAATACTGAATACTTGTCCAATCACATCTTCCCCTTCCTCTCCCTTTTAGTCGTCCAGGCAGTTCTAGACTGCTGCCCCCACGACCCGGCCCCGGATAAGCGGAAGAAAATGGATGGATGGATGGATGGATGGCACTTCTAGGCACTATTTAGACTGTGGCTGTGGGTGGAGTTTAGGTGTTTAGTCCCACTTTAATACATATTTATTTCAGATAGAGATGCATCAGTTGCACTTTTTCGCACTCAAGGTATTTGGGTTTAACTACTCCAGGTCAGAGACTTCTCTTAAAATAATACGTATAACTCAGTGATTCTCAACCACTGTGCCGCGGCACACTAGTGTGCCGTGAGAGATCGTCAGGTGTGCCGTGAGAAATTATCCAATATCACTTTTTTTTAAATAAATATGTATTAATTATTACCTGCAAATATTATGTCATTGTCGAGTGTCCGTGCTGTAGTACAGTGTAGTATATAATGACTGGCAGAGTGATCTAATATTCGTCCGGGTGGCGACAGGCAGCTAATTGCCTCGTTCCTTTAAACCAGTGGTGCTCAATATGTCGATCCCGATTTACCAGTCGATCGCCAAGGTCGTGTGGGTAGATCGCCGTGTCTCGTCTCGGACTCGCGTTTGGACTCGGTCTTGTCTCTCACTCAAGGTCTGACACTCAACAAGTGCGATCATATTTCATTACGGCCGCTGCTGTTGGTAATAAACTTGTACAGGTGTGCCAGAGCGTGTGGGGCGTCTCAGTGCAGCCCGCAGAGACTCTACGGCACATCACAAACACACACGCTCCCTATGCACGGCTCGTCTGCAACAGCGTGTGCCCTCGTGTACCAGCATGCATCACAGGGCAGATTAAACTTCCTAAACATCCTACCTGTCCATCTGCCCACGTCAGCACGCCGCCCCTCGCCTTTTCACGCTCTCGCTCCTTCCTGCGTAGAGCGAACACAAGCCCCTCCCACAGTGCGGCGGATTAGAAGAGCAAGACCAAACGTGAAGCAAAAACCAGTCTAAATTTGTGTTCCAGTGTTGGCACAAAGCAGGTCTACAGCATAGAGCAGATCTACAGAACAGACCTACTGCCACATTTGGCTGAAGTTTGTCTAACAAAAGTGCACAAATGCATCTGTGTTTGTCACGATGTGCGTTTGGTTTGATAAATGTGCAGAGGCTGGTAAATATCACTGCAAAACCAGAAAAGAATGAAACTCCAGTTTGGAACTTTAAAAAACAGGTTTAAAAATCTTCCTTCACTTTTTTCACAGTTTTGTGTAAAGTGCCAGAGGAAGAAGGGGTTCTCAAACTGTGGGTGAGGGTCCAAAAAAGGGGCACAGAGTGTTTCAGTGCAGTTTGCTTGGTTTTGTATTAGGTAGATCTTTATGACTTGGTCATTTTGTAAGTAGATCGCATGCTGAAAAAGTGTGAGCATCCCTGCTTTAAAAGAATTAGTAACGCATGTGCATGGTGTCATGGAAAAGTTTTTAAAATGGACGAATGCGAACTCCGAAATGGGCCCTGGACAAGATTCTGACCCAGAAGAAGAGCTTTTCAAGCTTAACTGCTATAAAAACTAAAAACAGAGAGAGACTGAGAGCTGTTGATGAAGAGCTTCGTGTGTGTCTTTCTTCTATTCCTGCCAGGATATCAGCTTTGTGTTCATCTAAACAGGCGCAGGTCTCACACTGAGTAAGTAGAAATTAATGTAGAAATTATATTGTAATTAAATATACTATATAGTGTCATTTTTGTAACATTTTGGTTAGTGGCGTGCCGCAAGATTTTTCCAATGTAAAAAACGTGCCGTGGCTCAAAAAAGGTTGAAAAACACTGGTATAACTGATTCATATAAACCACATCATTTTAGCCTTTCCGACAACACTGAATGGGCAAAAACACTGACAAATTTAGTTGTACTTCATTTTCAACAATGAGTCAGAAACATGTTTTAGTTTGAACTGTTACCCCGCCCACTTAGTGTTTTCTGCCCATGACACATAACAACTACCTGGAATAGTTTCATGCAGTTCTTTCTGCATGATTGTCATCAACTGTCAGGGATAGTGGTTGTTGTTTTCTCATTCTTAGCAAACAATGTTCCTGATTGGACAGAAAGTGGTGTCCCTGTAGCTTTTCTATTACTTATTACCCAACAAATACTTTGCATTGACAATGTACTGCACAAGGGCATTTATGTTAACCAGAAATCAAAACCAAGTACAAAAACCTTTTAATTTTTTGTAGAGAACTGACCCAGTCTTTTCTCTAGATTTGTCCCAAAACAATTTTATTATACTTTACATGGCAAAAAATAACAACCAGATTGCAATATGCCAGTGCACAGTTTAAGGGTGTGAGGTTTTGACCGTGCTGTAGTTGTAGTTCAGGGTGTAAACCAGAATATTCCACTTGAGTAAGCATTTGGCATGAGTGGAAAGGAAAAACTGCTTTTTTAACAGCCAGACCCTAGCTCCAGGTGAGTCACCATCTGCCCTCCCCTGTTCACGCCAGAGACACAAAACCCATTCTTACACTTGTAAAGAAAGGTCTAGTGATGGACAGGTGTTGCCAATGGGGCCATATTACTATATGGTTTGCAGAAAGTGTGGTTATTAGAGAGGTATTACTTTGACAAAGAGATTTGTATGAATATTAAAGGTGCACTATGAAACCTTTTCTTTTAGAAAAGTAAGGATTTACCAGACAGGCAAAAAACTAAAAGGAAAACATGCAACATATATAGGCTGCTTTATAATAGGAAATAAAGAATGATAATGAGACAATTATGACCTTTGAGGTGAATCTGAATTAACTGATTTGATTGATCGACATACTAACTCCAGCAGACAGGGGGCAATACTGCTTAATGGCCCTGTGGTTCATCGAATAAAGCATTTACTCTTGGCATTGCTTTGTAAAACATCCGTCCAAGTAAAAATCTATAACACAATATTTTCAGAACAAATAAAAATGATTATTGCTTCAAAAGTAGATTTGAATGAGTTAACTTTGAGGCTGAGCGCTCCTAATGTTCAGAAAAGTGGTTATAGGAGCCGAGCCAGATGTGTCCTTCAATAATCCTTGCAGTGAAGACAACAGCACAGGCCTCTCCTCTGCTGTCAGCCCCTCTGTGTCTCTGCTAAAATCACACGATGCATCAATAAATCACGTTTGAGCTGCCTGGTTCTGAGGAGGAGAGAGGAAAGGAGAGAGGAGAGGAGAGAGGGGAGGAGAGAAGGTCCCACTAGAGGAGGGAAGGAGGCATGAAGGATTGTGGGAAACTGGCAGCTGGGTTAAGTGCAGGAAAAGGATGATCTGTACCCCTCCTCTGCTTTGTGTTTCATTGAATGCATCTGAATAAGGCATCCCTCAAAACTACAAACATTTGGAAAAGAGTAAAGAGATGTTTTGTCAAATGCTTCTTCTTGCTTTAGTTTTACAGATTGCAGTTAGGCCCATATCAGTCATGGAGAGAAACTATTTAGAATTTGTTTCACCACTTTTTGGAACAACACTTTCTCTTATCTTGACTACATTTTATTTACTTGAGAAATGTACTATAGCCAGCTTCAAAGCCATCCTAATATTGCTGTATTTTTATACAGATAGATTAGTCTGATCCTCCATCACGCCTTGAGTTCAAATACAATGGTGCAATCAGAGACGCATGTCAAACAAATGAGCTCATTGATCACCCATTATTTAGTCTCACCTTCATTCATTTTTTCAGTCCTCCTGTGTAATATTTTTGAGTCCTCTGTGATTTTCTCCATCCTCATAAACAGACATATTTTGTTTGGATACAGGTGGACCATATATGTTTATGATTGGTTAATCCTCCTGTCAATCATGCGCATGTGAACTCAGGGAGATTCAACTGGTGACCCAGTAGTAGTAAGATTTATTTATTTATTTACACATTTGAGTGTGTCTGTGTGAAACATTTTCAGAAGAACATATTTTTGTATTCTAATACTAATTTGGCAACACAGGATTCAATGGTTGGCATGTATATTTTGTCTCCACCAGACAGTACAAGGACAGAGGAGCTTCTCCAACAAACAACAGTTCCATTCCCCCAGTAAACAATACAGAACAAAAGCTGTAGAGAACCGTGACCTGATGTCATCTCAAAGCTACCATGTTCATATTTGCACTGCTTTTCCTCATACCCTGCCCACTGCATAACATATGTATATATATTTTATTTATTTATTTACTTGTAGCCTACATATACACTATTAAATTTTTGTTCCCTTTTTGGCACATAATTTCTTTCATTTCCACTTTAAAAAAAGCAACTGTTATTCTTTTGCAATTCGAGAGCATCTAAATACCTCTAAAAATACTATGCACATTGTTCTACAGAAAAGGTCAAATGTGTGCATGAGAAGCAGCCTGAGGAGGCATTATTCTGATGTATCCCCTGCCCCCCTCCGCTGTGGGTGCAGAGGGACACCCCTAGAGACATCTGGTACAAACCACAGGGGTATCTCTGCATTTCCATGAATGAAGTGTCTGAGCTGGAGAACGTGCGTAATCTGCTGCCTTTACAACTGTCCAGATAAAGAAAATTGTACTGACAGTTTTGTTTAATCCACACATGTTTGAATAATCCTTTATTATTAGTCTGTCTACATCTCCAAAGCTCAAACTGCTCTGTTCCACCTTGTGATGTCATGTGGTAGTTTTCAAGTTAATAGCTTACCTTTAGTTCAATAGAGATTTAAAATTCCAGGGCTGAAATCATCCAAATAAATCTAATGAAGATGTAAGGTGTTTGAAAGCAGAACAGAACACTTCCTGTATTACCACATGACAAGGTGGAATAGAGTGTTTTCTGTTTGAGAAAAGAACTTTGCCTAAATATGCAGGATTTGTGTGTTAAACATGTGTGAGTGAAACAAAACTCCACATATGTTTGAGATGAGGGAACGTTATAAAGATCAGAAAATAGTGATAGTAATATGGGCCCTTTAAACTGAGTGGTCTACAGCCAATCCTCTGTCAGAAAAAGCATGTGGTTAATAGCAGAGTTCATACTTTTATTTGTTTTCAATTAAATGTAAAACAAAAAAATCATATTGTACAGTTGAATGTGACCAATGAGAAAATGATTAAGGGTATTTAGAATTTGAGTATCTGCTGTGTCTGAAATACTAAATGCTTAAAGTTACACTCGTCCAAACTCTTGGTTGTCCTGTCTCCAGCCTGGGTCTTTTCCCTCTGGATTCATTATAAGTTTGTTTCTTTTACCTCTGTCCTCTAACACCTGGGGAGAGGTGTCCAGTCTGACTCTGCACCTTTAGGTATACTAGTCTTATCGCTATAGGTATCAGATATACAGCATTTCAGAGCCTTTTTACAGCAAGTGTGAAAAATATTTGGTTGTTTACTAAAGAAATGACACACAAACTAGATTATTTCTCAACAATAGTACACTAGGACTTCAAAATACAACATATAAACTGAGACTGAACAAAATTGCACTTGGACTAAAGTAACTCTTGCCAGAGATTTCAGGACAAAATTTAAAGCTAGGGAATGGCAGAAAATGTTTCAAATCTGGACAATGTTTTCTTAAAATTGAGGCATTTCAGATAACCGTGTAAAAGCCTTTATCAAGCTGAAAGTACTAGTCTGAGGAACAAGAATTATTCTGTTTATTCCAATAATTCTAAGAAATTTGTCAGTATAGCTCTTCAGATCAGTACTTTTAGATTGATAATAGCTTCCAAATAATTGGCTGAAACATCTCAATTTCAAGAAAACATTATCCAGATGGCCACTTTTGAAACTTTTTCTACCATGGATCACTCCTGTACAAATGATGGATTACATCAAGCAGACTACAGTGTAAACCAGGACAAAAACAGCAGACAAACCAATAATGAAATATGAACCAGGTCTACGCTAAGACTAGATACAATATCAACCAAAAATAATAATAAAAGCCTGCAATTTGACAATCATTGCTATACATTGTTTAAAAATAATACTACTTTAACTGCGGAAATATCAGCAAGGGTTGCTCAAGGTAGAAAAGCCATGATTTTGGTATTTTCAGGGCCGAGCATATTTAATTCAGATTCCAGTTTTTAATCTTTTAACTGCTACACGGCTCTGATAAATATTACATTGAAATTCAAAGCAATGTTCTTGGATTGTGATGCTTAATGGACTATGATGTTGTTTATGATAGCTGCAGAATTATTTTGCTTTTCCACTTTAATGAGCTAAAAAAGATTATAGAAGTTGTAGTTCAAAAGGTCTGCACTTCTTCTGGTTTCTTTTTTTCATGATAAGATCCTAAATGTATTACAAAATTGACTGGATTAAACTGCTGAAAATAAACATACCCGTTCCAAGTCAGACCCACAACTGGACTACACACAGGACCAAATGGTGAGAGGGAGAGAGAGAGGAAGGGAGAGAGAGATACTTTATGGATCCTGAGGGAAATTCAAGGCTAAACCTGTCCTAAATGCACAACAAAATTAAAGGTCCACTGTGCCACTTTTCTGGTTAACTTTCAGCTAATGGTAAATGGTCACATTTTTTATACAGCACTTTTCCACCTTACATTTACTTTCACATCAAGAACCCACTCACCCATTCACATACACATTCATACACCAGTGTGCACAAACCCTAGGGGCGAGGTGGGTTAAGTGTCTTGGCCAAGGACACAACAACAGCATTCATCTGTAGGAGCTGAAATCGCACCGCCAACCTGTAGGTCAGTGGATCTGACCGCTCAACCAATGTTTATGTCAAGAGCGGAATTCAAACCACCAACCTTCAGATCAGTGGTTAGATATTCTACCAGCTAAGCTATTGTCGCACTGCTATTGCTAGAATGTTCCACAATATGGCATTAAACTTATCTATCTCTACAAATAAATGGTCTAAATAAGAAACCAGAACTGAACAAGGACAACTGGATATTTTCCAGGGCATCTTGTAGGATCATATCATTTTTGCATTAGTCTGAGTTTTTCTTTATTCATTTTGCCCTTATTAACTAATTTGATTCATTTTTCTGTTCTGCTGCGTTTCACAGCCTCTTTCTACAGACAATGCCCTATTCAAACTGTGCTCCGACTTGTCAACAGCTCGACGGCCACATCATAGTCTTAACAAAACATTTTAATTCTGCTAAACGAAGCTGAATAAATGACTAGTCAAATAAAGAAACATTTGACTTTGAGAGGTAATTAGTTTTACAACAGTCACTCAAGCTCAAAGAGAAAGTTTGTGTTCCAGGAGACTGTGCTTAACATGGAGCTGTGAAAATACATACACATATGTATGAGTGAAAATACATATATCTCTATCTATCTATAGATAGATAGATAGAGATATATAGATAGATATAGATAGATAAATAGATAGATATATGTATTTTCACATATATGTGTATGTATTTTCATTCATTCATACATTGTAATATGTAAAAAAACATTTTTGTACAGTTGAGTGCTTATAGTGTATGTATACATATACACACACGCACGCACACACACACACACACACACACACACACACACACACACACACACACACACACACACACACACACACACACACACACACACACACACATATATATATATATATATATATATATATATATATATATATATATATATATATATATATATATATATGGTGCTGAAACTCCTCAAAGCACCAGCCACTGCAGCGTTGTTGTGTCACTGGGCAAGACAGTTCACCTGCCACACTGGTTGCACGTGCTGGGAGAGTATGAATGAATAATGCATGAAATAGTAAAGAGCGTTTGAGCACCTATAAAAGTGCTATGAAAGCCTAATGCATTATTACTCTTGTAACATTTTGTCATCATGTTTTCATTTCATAAAATAAAGTTACAACAAAGAAAGTAATTATTTTGACTAATGTTATATTTCTACAATATTTATACAGAGTAAATATGATCAGAGCCCCAGCTCAGTTCACGTTTTTCTATTTTCTATTGTATAATGTACATTATAAGAAACCATAAAGCTGTTCTAAGTGTGTTTTGGAGCATTAAGTCACTGTTAAGAGACTTTTATAAGTTTTGGATAATGCTGTTGGCTATTGTATTGTTACCTCTGTAAAAGCATTTGAAATTGAGCCTTGGAGAATCACAATGCCCATTTAGCTTTATGATAATAGTCATCACATTATACGTTAATGTTCAGATTGTGATAAATAATGATCTCTGTGACAATGTTTATGCGGCTATAGCCATGCAGCTATTTGTGCTAACGTGTCCATTTGCCAGTAATGTGTCTTTTGTCTTTGCCTAAAGCTCATAATATCACCACACTTTCTTTTTTCTGATACAAGTAAATGCACTACTTTTATTAGGTAGTGTCGAGCTTACTTACTTACTTTATGTGTATCCACCAAAGCAATTATAATTTTATCTCTCAGAGCTACATTCAACTCTGTCATTGTCTCATGTCTGTTGCTGAACACACGAAAATCTGCCACATACATAATAATTTTTATAATGACAGAGAATTTATCAAAAATCAAAGCTAAATAATTGGAACAATAGAAAAAAATGTCAGTCAGGGTAATAATCATCATAATATGCTATCACACCAAATAGTGGTGTTACTGACACCTTGGGAGAAATTATGAAGGATGCGCTCCATAACGTGCTGAATGAGTTAACTCCAGAGACAGTCTCATGTAAAACTGAAGCCTCAAATCTACTACCACATTGTTAGCTAATCTCTGCTACATTTGCCTGCCTTACACACATTTTATATTTAGATCCAGACACCTAATAGAGATCTGATTTGGTGCAATAACAGCTGCTTTTACGATATACTGTTCTCAAGCAGGTTTTACTACATTAGAAAATCAGATACTGGATGTTTAATTACCGGCTTAGTCATGACTGCTTGCTTTTCAACTGGTGTCCCCGAGAACAGCGCCTTGAGGGACTGCCAGGTGTGCCTTGACAAAATCTCCAATATGATTTAACTGATTCACAAATGCATTTAATAAAAAGCACCAAGCAAATTAATTGCTATGACAGTGGCAGGGATAATAGCTACATCATGTACCACTTTATTTTTAATCCAAGGTGTGATTTGTTTATATTTTAGAAAGTGGTGTACAGTGGAATATTTCAACCTAATACTGTCAGTAAGTTAAAAAAGATTGAAAAACCCTACTTGCTTCATTGTATGGCTGACAATACCATACAAAAACTCTTCACCCCACCTCACTCACTCACTCTTTGTGATTCCACATACCTCCTTCGTACTCTGGGCAGTTCCCTGACGTCTCATTGAGGCTCTCCTCCTCTGTGATGATGATGTTCTCAATGTCCTTCATGGTCAGGTGGTCTCTGAAGGCGTGGAACAGAACCTGCTTCAGCTCGTCCAGAGACAGCTGCTGCATGTCAAACTGAAAAGTGACATAGACCAGACACCATGTGGTTAGAGGGGGCATCGACGTAATGTTGAATCTTCGCGTGACAAGACAAGAAACATCTGAGTGTTGTCCAGACTATTGATGAAGTAATAAGTACATTTCTAACATTCTCTTTTGTCTTTGCCACATTAGCATGCCCTTTTATGCACAGTTTTCCCAGGCACAACCTGAACAGATGTGAACAAGCTGAAAAAATCAGATTACTCACATTAGATGGCTGTTTACATGATATTTCAGTAATCTGATAACGCAGAAATCAGATAGTAATGAGATTTCTGGTGTGCATGTAAACATAGGCACTGTCAGACAGAAACAAAACAACAACGCTAGAGTTTTCTGAAATTATGGTTCTTGGATCTTTCTGTGTTTCCCCTAATTCAGTGCAACTAACCACACACATTGTAACTGAGAGCCACGTGGTGTGTATTGGGAATGCAGTGACAGTATGGGCTTTGATGGTGCTACTACAGTGTTATCCAAATATTATTATACATTACTGCCACCACATAAACGAGAAAAGAGTATTGTTTAATTTACCATAGGACTATAATATTAATTAATTATTGTGTAAAATAAGTAGAACAATGCAGTAGTTAAGTTTAAATTCTAGCCAAAGCAGTCAACCCTTTTGATATCCTGTGCACAAGTTACATTTCTTCTTTATGGTGATTCACTAAAGAATTTTTACCAAACACCAATTGAACAAATACACTCAATTCAGTTTTAGGATAAAAAGAAATCAAAATTAGTATTACAATCACGTAAAACAAAGTAAAGATTGCATTAACTAAACATGTTGATCAAATAGGGGAGATATCAGTGTGTGTTTGCATATGCATCAGCGCTGCTATTTCTGGAGCTCAAATCAGTATGCCAGTCTGCTGCATGCTTGGCTATAGGTCCTTAAATGTATGCATGCACAATGTGTGGAGAGCACAGGCCCGTTAAAATGGAAATAGCTTGAACACTCACTGCCTTGTAGACGGATGTATTAGGTTGTATGCGAATGTTTTTAATGATTTATGAAGCTTAGACCAATCTGCTGCTGAGGTGCCAAGAGCTGTCCTCTTCTGTGTGCCCTTCCCCAGTAACATCATCGGTGTGAAGGGACGACCCTCCGAGATGCACAGCTCCTCCCCCTGTGCCCACACTGACATTGTTCTCGCAAAGACCACCCCAAAGAACATGACCTTATATGCTGATGTTATCCAATCATCACTGTGGTGGATAACTCTGCCACCACTTCATAGTGTCAGTATAATTTAATTTCATTTACATTAAGTTAAAAACATTACACATAATTTAGTTCCTTTATTTAGACTTATATACTAATTTGAATGCACACATTTTAGTTAACATAATTCTGATTTACTTACACTTGTTTTTTTGGGGGTTTTTTTGAGCACCGAACGGAGGACCCTTGGGAGAGACTATCAGGACTCAGCAAAGGGGGGGAGCACTATTTAGTTAGTTTTACTAAGTTTATTATTTTGTGTTAAGGTCACTTTATTATCACTTATTATTTTCTGTATTATAATTATTTACCTTTTTGTTACTTTGATTAAGTTAGTAGTTTAGTTAATTATTTAGTGTAATTCCTTTAGTTGGTCCTCAAGTATTAAACACCCCTGTTCCTTTGTCTGGTTGGGTTAGTTTTGTTCTGTTCAGTTTGATTTGAGTTACCCCAGTTGGGCCTGGCTTTTTTTTTGTTAATGATTTGCCTAATTTGAGCCTTTGTTAAATTATATATATATTTTTTACTTGATTGAAATTTAAACTTATTTTTATACCCTGTTTTTGCGTTTGTGTTTGGTCCACTACAATCACGTGTAAGAGTATGACTTAAAGAGCTCATATTATACTATTTTCTGTTATAATGTTGTTTCCTCCTCACAAAACTACCCGTCTTGTTTTGTTTCATTCACATGTTCAACACACAAACACTGCATATTTAGGCTGAGTTCTTCTCTCACATAGAAAACTCTCTGTTCAACCTTGTGATGTCATGTGGTCAGAAGTGCGCCACTGTGTTTTTAAACTCCATACGCTTTCACTAGAATCATTTGGATGATTTCAATTCTGGAACTGCCAAACTTTGGTACCTTTAACTTGGAAAATGCCACTACATGACATCACATGGTGGGACAGAGCATTTTGAGGTTTGGGGATATAGATAAAAATGAAACAAAATACAACTCCAGGTAGGTTTTTGAGGATGTAACAGCATTATAATATGGTTTAAAACTCAGAAGAATCAATTTGGTATAGGCCCTTTAAGCATTGGCATGGGCATTTCACAGCAAAGAGATGCACTGTCTGTTACAACAATTATTAACTTGTTCTGTTCTTTTGTATATAGTTTAAGACTGGACCACACAAAATCTGGGTAAAGAGTCCGATCAAACATGGAGATAAAAAAAAAAATACAGAGTGCAACTTTAAATAACAATCCCCTATGTCAAACCCCTTTTCTTACTAAGAATTTTCCACTTGTCTGACAGTATACATTAACAGCAGCTATAATTCACTCCCCCCTCATACACTTATGTTGTAAGTGACAGTATGGCATCATAATAAAGCAACTCTGTAAGCATCTGTGTCTCTTAAATGTCTCTGAAGCAGCCTTAAATACAATCCAGTGATAGTTTAGTTTTTTTTTTCAAAGCAGATGGACCTGTTCTGAGCAAAATAGAGGTTTAATGGAGAGAGAAAAATAAAAGTGGGCAAGATGACATTACGTTGAGGTAATGAAAAATCAGAAAGTAGCAGAAAACCCAGATGGAGGACAGCGATGACAGACGATTGTGCAAAACATTATTATGGACAGAGATGCCTATTTCAGTAAAGGACAATAATCAGCTTCATGGTGACTTTTGCTGTTTTAGGTCTGACAGCACACTGCAAAAATGGACAACTGGGAACAATTTTATTTTGACTATTACATTTATTTGATTTGTGGTCCTGGATTATTATTTGCAAACATGGTTAGAAATTTGTGTAGTGTGTCCTACTGGTGGAATAGTGTTAGTTTTGACAAAATATATACTTTATTCTTCTTTATTCGATATTTGAATCAGACTCTTAAAGGTGCACAATGCAAGTTTTCTGGTGGTCTGGTTTGTCCCCTGCTTATCTTCATGGAGATGTTACTTTTGTGCCTGAAATGCTTTCTAGGACATGAAACTAATCTATTTTTTTTACAATTATTATTATTCTGAGTGGGGAGGTCTCTCCTCAAATCTGATGTAAGACCTCTGATGATTGCCTGCTAGTTTCCATGAACACTCACTCAACGTCCCCCAGAAAGGTTACAGAAGCGGCCCTTTAAGTGTCGACAAAGATGCATTGGCTCCACTGCAGACTTACGCCCCAACCAGTGTCAATAAAAAGCTAAGTTTCCTTTGTGCAGCCAGTGCTCTGTGTGTGCCCTGAAGGATGCTTAGAAATAAGACTCTTTGGACTTTGGGACAGATGACATGACAGCTCAGGATGGGAGCACCCCAAACCTACAATGTTCCTGTCAGTTTGTGCAAAAAGTAAAAGTCACAAAGGAACAGCAGCCGGTTAGCAATCCAGTTTGATTTCTGAAAAGCTCTGAAAGGTGAAGGAAGGTGTTTGGTCTACTTAATGAATTTTGAAGTGTCATTTACAACAAAAGTGTCAATAAAATGTGGGGGGCTAGTACAAAACCTTTGCAAACATACAAATAATACGCCGACAAGACCCGAAACCTCAAAATCTAGAATCAAACATAACATCAGGACAACTATTAATCTTATACTGAAATAGTATTAAATGGACAAATCATTTACAAACCTCATGCACAGAAACAAGAATGCTATGCCATATCAGAATATCATTTTATTGTTTATTCATTTTTCACTAGGAAGTTTAATCTGCATGAGGTGGAAAATATCACCAAAATTGTGGTGGCCAGACATTTTTGATTAGATGTGCACTACGTGACTTTCTGGACTAATAATCCAGTCTGCATTCTCCCCTCATTAAGATGAGTCATTTTAGCACAGTGTTGCATAATAACAATATAAAAACAAACCTTGAGCCCCCTGTAAAGTAGTCTGTATATTTCTGTTGTAGTTACTGTTCCTATCCTGATTTGGAGTGTTGAGGAAAATAAATCAAAGTACCCAGACACTTCAGCCTCTGTAGCTGAGTGATTGTTGCGTGAGAGACTATTTGGTGATGGTCAGAAAGCCATTAACTCAAGATTCAGGTCAGATACAGTAAGGGGTAGTAGCTTGCCATCATCAAGTGGAAAATGAAAAAAAGAAACAATAGCAGAACCTTGTGTGGGCTTTGTTTTGAACAGTAAAGCCCTAGCTGCACAATAGAAATGTTAAGTGGGCTGCTGGACAAAGGGGTGAAGAGGAGGGGGTGGCCCAGATAAGGATACAGGATCATAAAGGCAGAATCACTAAAGAACAATTCATGAAGGTCATAGACAGTTATAATCTCCAGTGATTTAAAATCTCCTTCAAAGAAACACACACAACATTCAAAGGCAAGCATGGACGATGAGTTCAGGGACTGCTGGAAAAAGAAGAGACAGTGATAGTGTGAGAGTCATTAGCTTTCAGTTAGGACACTCTGAGTATTAATGCATTTTAATTGGAAACAACTGGTAAACTATGCTGAATGTTGTAAAAAAAACAAAAACAAAAAAAAAACCACAACACACACACACACATATATATATAAAAGACTTTTATAAAATTAATCATCAAAATGTATAATTAGTAAAAAGTGATGACATTCAGGATTGAATTTTATCAGTCAGATCTTATTATATCAATGCAAAGGCAAGAGTTTTAATTTTCTGTCTATTATTAGCCGAATTGTAGCTGAATTATATTCCAAAAATAAAATAAAATCAAGAATAATATGTGACAACAGCAGGACTTTAAAATTGGACATTGTGATATCTTTCTTTACTTGTAGACAATGTATATTTGAATACACCAGAGTAATACAGTAGTTTACACAAATCTTCTCACTTGCAAAAACTAGTAAATATTTCATATTTAGCCTTATAGACCAGACAGGGGTGGTGGAGGGATGTAAGATACAAGGAGAGAGAGCACAGTAGTTTGTTTATAGTGCAGGAAGGGCAGAAAAAAAAATTAGTTACTGTGCTGAAACTTGAAAATCATGAAGTTTGCATAGTTTTAAATGCGTATTTGGCTCTCATCACATTCATTCATGGGGGAATTGAGAGCTAGCATCTTTGCCTACACTGAATAAATACTGTCTTAATGGTTGAGTGCAGTTTGTTTTGTTCAAATATCTGTGTATCAGTGTTTTCCTGTTCGTCTGAGGGGAACGCATGGAGAGATTGAGATGTGCGTCTGAAAAAGTCCTGACTCCACTCGCTACATTTTTGCTGATGTCTGTAAATTAGATTTGGAAAAAAGAGAAGCATTCAGCCTTCCATTACAAATGAAGCTGCAGCGCCTGGAGATAAAGCCATTCTCTGCTGAGATAAAACAACTGTTTGGGCCAATCTCTTTTCTTTGTTGAGGGACATAAATTGACACTTGGATAATTTACTCTTGAAATTGTCTGTGTGTAATACAGAAAAATATTGGTGGAATTCTCCAATAAAAGTGTAGGCCTAAGCTGAATAAGTTTTGCTATGTAAATATGGACTTAAAAACCTCTGTAGTTACAGTTATTAATTAAAAAAAAAAAAAACACAATTAAAAATTATGCAGTAGAATAAATTTTTCCATCAATTTTTCCACTTCTTGGTAGCTCTGAATGGGAGAGACCCACTTCATGAATGGGCCTGGCCACTATGTAACCACTATTGTCTCTCCATTGTCTGCTCAGATTTGAATTCACAAAATGTGTGCACGATACAATCCATATACAAATACATTTTAACCTGCACACCTCCTCATTTTCAGTGACTCATTGCAACATTTCCTCTCTCTTTCTTCTTCTGTGCTCATCCTTACTCCACCATGCAAAGTAAACGGAAACTGCACTTTTTATTATTGTCATATGTCTTACCTCCCAGGCAAAAACATCTTTTTGGAGAGCACCCAACAACCAATTTTCAGAAGTAAACAACTTCAAAAGAATATCCATGAGCTACAAGCCTTAATCAACCAACTGGCCAAATGTGGTCACTTGAAAGAACCTAAATCATGTATATGCCCATTTCCCTGCCTCCCTGAATCTTTATTATGGTAATAGTGTCTGTATTTGCTCCATACAGGAGCACACTTAACAAGCCTCTCATGCACTCGCTCTTTGAGCTAAAAGGAAAGAGAGGTATTGTCAGAAGAAGCAGACCGGGGTCTGGAGAGGGGATTTAGATATGTGTTCAAAAGTAGTCTGTGTTTGTGTGCACTTTTGATGGGTTTGTGCTTCAGAATATATACTTGAAATGTGCTTATTTAGTCTCTGTTGTGCCAAATGAGAATGATTCTGGGTTAGTGACCTTAAACTACCTTTTCATGTAAACATACGAGTTGTATCAATTCATTATTTAGCATATTTATTTCATCATTGTATTGCAGAATATATTATCTATTAATTTGACATAACTGTGACTCAAGTATAGTGCCATACACTTTTGAGGAATGTATATGAATATTGCTCAAAAAAGAGTCTTGAATACCAAAAAAGAGAAATATAAGGTTTCCACAATCAAACCACGGGACTGTGAAACTTAGGCGCAGCTAACTGGTGTAGTAGAAAGTATGCCTTTTACCTGCCAGAAGATGTTGTCAATGGTGTTGCCCAGAAAACCTTCTCTGTTGTCGGATGAGAGCAGTTTGGGACCAAGTATTGTCATGAACTCCTCAAAATCCACTTGCCCGTCCCCTAAAATAAACAGTAAATGCATTAAATTCATTCAAACTTCATTCACATTGTTTATGTGTTCTCCTTGTGATCCATAGAAAATGTTTTGTGGGAAAACAGACAAGAATAATAAACTAGGACCATATATTTTCAATGTAAGAACACGTATTAGGCTCAAAGCATGAATGAGCAAAAGTTATGGCAGCAAACTGACAATCATGCAGTTATAGAGTGTGAAGCTGTTTTATATTTAGTAGTTATGTTGGTCCTTGTAACACTCAAATGATTTTCAAAACAACATTTCACAGCCCAAACTCTACACAGATTTGCTTTCTATCCCAAACATGGGCCCCAGTATGGAGTGAAAGCTGATTTTCTCAACCGAATGATAGAAAAACTTGGACAGATGCAGGTGCGTTCAACCGTAGCAGGCACTTATGAGAAAGAATTCACCTTTGATCGAAGCCAGGACTCTGTGCGTGTCTCATTGTGAAATAACTGCTCAATTCAAATTCAACAGGCTCGAGTAGTGTTTGCATTATGTATTCAGGGGCTCTGTGTTGTCGGAGATAGGAATCAGGAGCCAGCATCCCGCCAAATTAGCACTCGCTCAACATGCTCAAGATGCAGAGAACCATGAACCAGTTACTGCACAATGAAGTACAATGTGATTTATGATTATAGCCTGATATAACTTTGTATGTTAAAAATGTCAGATCTGGTTATTTGTTATTTGTTATCTGGTTATTAGAGAGAGCAGAGAATGATTACCATACCAAAATCAGGACTAAACCAGGTTAAACTTAAAGATGCTACACCTCATTGTTATTCTTTCTAGTCCAGATAGTCCAGTGCAATAAGAGCAGATATTTGAAAGAAAGAAATTGCACTGAAGTAAATCTTCTATGCTGGCAAAAAGAAGCGTCAGAGACAATTATTTATCATGAGGCACTTTGTTGGGTGAGGACCATATGAAAACAACTGTCTGAGACTCCCAGACAGATATGTGTCCGTCATGGTGCAATACGAGTGTAAGAGAAGAGACAGACGGGTGGAGTTTGAGAGGAACCATATATAGAAAACAGGCTTTCTTAATTTGAACCAGATTTCAGCCTGGATTAAAAGGTTTTAAAGCAACAACGAAACAGAAGTACAGCAAAATTAAGGAATAAATCTTCTACTAATGATTCTGTCAGGAGCACATCCTAAACACGTTAATGACTGTCTGCATTTAGCAATAGTCGGTCTAATCTTTTAATTACATTTGTACAGTAATTTGGGCCTTGTTGTATTGACCTTGTATAGCTGATTACTGTATAGTGCAGAGGAGTTGCTTCCATGCTGATGCTCTGTTGCGTCTCCTCTGACACTCACGTCTAATTAATTGCACCAAGCTTTTGTAAAGTCTGGAGTAAACAAAGGCAGGGAATTACTATCAAATTGTTCATCCTCATAATAATGGCATCTGACTCACCATTTTAGGCTTATGATATAAGCCTAAATATATCCTAATATGTGCTTCTGAAAAATGTCCCTGTTAAATAAATAAAAAATTGCAAGTAGTACCCCTAATTCTAATGGTGGGTACCATTTGTAACCTTTTATTACTTGTACCACTTGCAACTTATTTTGCCTGAAATATGACATTAAGCATCTTACCCATTTATAGTTGTTGTTATTGTTGTTGTAAAAAATCTTACTGTGAACAGGACCACAGATCTAAATTTGTCCTTACTAATACAAAAATAATAATTTCTCTTCTGTTTGGACCACCATATTAAATTGGCAACAATTGTACAACAACAATTCTACAAGTAACATTGAAAAAGTTTTTTTTTTTTTTTCTCTTCTCAGAAAACCTAAAATATCACTAATAGGACCCTTTGAGTCAGATGAGAGTTTAAGCTGGAAAAAGCCTTTTTATGTGACCTTTGTGCAACAGCTCCATGCAGAGCTGAGTGAGGAGGCAGATAAGATGAGGTTGTGATGCAGGAGCTGTTTGTGTAATCGCTGCTCTCTGCAGATTTATAAGTGTCGTTTGACAAAAGGTTGCGCCTCACTGTCTCTGGGGAATTTATCTGAGACTGGGCCCACCTGCTGCATAAGTGCTTTGTGGAGATATTTGGAGGAAACTCACACTGCTATTTGGCATCACTTAATGTACTGTATTTCACATTAGCATTTGTATCATGGGCATAGTTTTGGTCTGTCTTTTTGGATGAACATGAACAAGAAGCTCCTCAGATCTTTGTTCAAGATCTGAAAATGAGAATGTGTTTGAAAGAGGGATCAAGGAATATACACGTCCCTGTGGTCTCGCCTCTATTTTGCAGGGAAACTTTAAACTGAAACAAACTGGTCTTACAAAAATGTGTGTAGTTTTGAACTAAAACATAAAGGTCAACATGAGGTACACTGAGGAGGGAGTTTCTCACCGTCCATGTCCAGCCGCTGCATGATGATGGCCAGCTCCACCTCTGAGGGCATGTATCCCAGCGAGCGCATGGCCATCCCCAGCTCCTGTTTGGAGATGAAACCATTCCCATCACGATCCAGGACCCTGAACGCCTCACGAATCTCTGCAACATGCACACAAACACATGCATCACAGCACATGTCATGAGAAACACTCAGATAAAATATCAACATATTTCTGCATGTTTTGGAAATGTAACCACAGTTCCATTTATATATATATATATATATATATATATATATATATATATATATATATTATATATATATATATATATATATATATATATATTTTTTTTTTTTTTTTTTTTTTTTTTAAATAGAGGGAATAATATACACATGTGGGCTTCTTGTGTTGACTTCACATGTGGATATGTAGTTTATAATTGAAGTAGATACAGGAGTTGCTCCAGACCCTGCCAATGTTGAAATGTATCCATTTCCTTCAGCTTTTGAAATTTCTCTGCCATTCATTCATTGTGGGTAAATGTTTGACTCACAAATTCTCCATATTTTTGGAAAGAAAGGAAAGCCAAAGAACACAGACTTGTTAACACAGAACCAGCCTTTGTGGTGGCATAAGTATTGAATTTTCAATTTCTCTGCTTGGCGATAAGAGCACAATACCCCACACAAACAAATAAATGGACAGAAGTTGTAGGCATCTGTTTTTAAAAAAAAATACATTTAAAATAAGATCAAACCTATATAAAAGGTAAAGCTGGGCACATTTACAGAACATTTCCTGGTGGGGTTGCTTTAGCTACCCAGATTTTGAAAGGAGTCAACTGGTAAATGATTTACTGCAGTATGGAAATGTGTAAAAGCAATCTCATATGGTGTGTTGCAACAGAGAGCAGAGTAATCAAAATATAATAATACAGTTGTAAACAGCAGGGAATTAAAAACAGTCATACAAAATTGTTAACAAAAAGGCAGAGAGGAAGGGAGCTTTTGGTAGGACATAGTATAGGGACAGTGTGAAGTGTGGCCTTGCTTCTGAACTGAAGATAACATAATTTATCTTTATGTAATTATGTCAGTTGTCGTGGTAAGCCAGCTTTCTGTTTAAATTCTCTTGATTATGCTATTTTCTGATCTCTTTTATTATGTTGTTTCCTCAACAAAAACGTGCCAGAAGTGTTTTGTTTTCATTCACACAAACCCTCCATATTTAAGCTGAGTTCTTCTCTCAGGGAAAAAATACTGTTCACACTCTGTTCCACCTTAAGATGTCATGCAGTAATACAAGAAGTGCTCCACTGTGTTCTTAAACTTCATACACCTTCACTAGAAACATTTGGATCATTTCAGCCCTGGAATTGCCAGTCACTACTGAACAAAAGGTAAAATGTAGCTGATAACTTGAAAACTACAGCTTTTTGGCATCACAACAGAGAATTTTGAGCTTTGGAAATGTACAGAGGATCACAAACAAAACACAACTCCAGTTACAGTATGTGTTTGAAGGGACAATGTTCTAACATTGCTTAAATTAAAGCTCACAAGAATCAATTCTGGGCAATATAGGACTTTGTAAAGTGTATGAAAAAGAGAATACACGTTCTTGCCCGACCTGGCTATTGTTGTTATGTTTTGTGGATTTACAGACACTCAGCTCCAGGGAATGTGGGATTTCTCAAACTTGCACTTGTGTATGTGTGTTTATTATGAGAAGAAACAACAATAAAATCTGATGCAAAGTTGATTTTCTGAGATAAAGTTTTACTCCTCTAGTAATATTATTTTAAAGTAGCAACACCTGAGCCTTTAAAACTTTAAAAAGATTGAAATAAATGCATAAGCATGACTGTGACTGTGCCAAAGGTTACTTGTGCAGTTTAGGGGCCAGGGCCAGTGACAAATCCATGTAATAAAAATCAGAGGTTGTTGTTGAAATCATTTTTCTTTGTGATGTTGTTTACTTATTTGCACAAAGAGGCTCTTCACTCTCCATTTATCTGTGACTGTGGGCTCCCATCATCTGTTTGTTTGTCTTTCCTCCGGCCTTATTATTACTGCATTTATCAAACATGGGTTCAGAGCAGGACAGCAGCTCTTTGTTCACATACTTGACCAAAATACCAGTTTATCTGTGATTTAAGAGTGCTGCCAGAATACATGACAAGTGGATACAAATGTTCAGTCCATGCTTTATGAGAGAAGTCCTATTGATGATGGTCACTGGCATGAACAATTAAACAGCAACATAAACCCCAACAAATAACACTCATACTAAACTAGTGATACAAGAAACTGCATTTGAAGAAGCATTAGAGCTCAGGTTGAATGTCAAAGCTCTGCAAAACAATGTTAAAAATCAATAAGCTGTTGGGTCAATGTTATATAAAGTAGTGTGAGATATCAAATGAATGAACAAATGCTACATTTAGCATTTAGCATCTTATAACCTCCATCGGTTTAAGATTGAACTGACAATACACTACAAATCCCTCTACAGAAACACATACTACCACAGTAAACTTGAGAGATATTATGAGATTTATTTATTTTTTATTAATAATTTAGCTACACACTGACTGTATTTGTAGCTGATTATTGCACTAGAGCATTGGGAAAAAAATATCTATATGAGAAAATAATGTGAAGAACTTTTAAAATGTCACACAAAACTTACTGAAGTTAAGTCAGAGCATTCAATAATGTTCTTCCTCTTCCTCTGACTATACTCCCTGACAATGACCCGTTAGCTACAGAACAAAGAACAGGGCTTTACTCTTCGCGAAAATAGAGCAGGGCTGTCCAAATATTGAACCATGTTTGAAGTGGAGGACCACAGACTGGTGGCCGTTGTGGTACATTGAGTTGAGAAAATGGAGGCATTTAACTATACCTGGACAGAGCCACTGCACCTTTACTCGGGCTTGGAAAGTATACATTTAGTTATCACAGTGTGATGTAATGTCACTGAAGCTACGATTGTAAAATTACTTCAATTTGCAGTAAAAAGTACTTATGATTATTTAGACCAATTTAGCAGGAGCCTGAGGGCCACATTTAGCCCCTGGAGATAGAGCCTTATGTTCTGAATAGAGTCATAATGCATTTACCTACAAAAGTTGTATGACTTGTATCAAATATACTTGTGTGATATCAGGCTTCACCTCATCAAAAAGAACAGTCCAGATTAGATTTTTGGCTGTGGTCATTTGCTCCATGGTGAATCTCTCTCTTTCTCTCTCTCTCTCTTTCTCTCTCTCTCCCATGATTTTCCACTGAGTCTGCCCATTAACATGCCCAAAATAACACCACAGTCTGGTGGTCATAGTTTCAACTGATTTTCAAACTGAACTTCACAATTTAATCAAATTGTCCCTTTTAGAATTTGCTATAAATCATGGAATACTCATCTCATGGAAATTGTAAAGATAGCTGCAATGCTTCTATACAGAGGTGGTTGAGTGGTCTTAAAATAAATAAGTATAATTATAAAATTAAACCTTAGATTTTAACTACACTACAAAATGTAATGATTATTTAGTTTGGTTTATACAGTATGCATCTTTCTGGAGGTGGCACATTACCTGTATGAGTCCATGGACATAGAAAGTTAAAACCCATATTCTGGAACATTCTCCATAGAGATACATATTAAAGTTATAAAAATTATTGAACACAGTTTTCTGTTGTCTTATAACCTCTTTTTTTTTTTTTACCATTACATTTGGCAGCTATGCAGCAACTTCAATAATGATTTCCTGTACATGTACTGTCTTTTCTAACTGTAAAGCTATTTAGTTTGTAATACTTGGCTTTTATCAAATGGTAGACATCCTTGATTAAATTCTTGTTTGAATCCAGTGTGACATAAATTGTCATTGTTCAGTTTGTCTTATAGTGAGCTTGTTTGCCTCTTCAGAGTTCAAATACTTCCTACACTTAATATTTTCCATTAAGGCAAACTCTGCTCCAATAGCACAGCACTTTAACCTTTGATTTCCATTGATTTCCTTATTGCTGCCAATGCATCACATCTACAGACACTAATGGCTTTTGCTTCCATTGTAAAACAGGGAAAGCCGTTGCTAATGACTTGATTAATGCTTGTATCCAGCATGTGATTACAAACAGTGCTTTCATCATTTTATTGTTGATTTTAATAAATGGGAACTATTAAAAGCGGTTCAGACTCAATAAGTGCCTTCAGCAAATACCAGATAACTCTAGAGCATTATGTGCATTGATGTGTGAGATTACATTAGAAGAGCTGTTATCAGACAAATTAAACTTATGAATGATCCTTTTTTTTTCTCAGCCTGTTTCTTGTTTCTATATATCCTCTCACAAGTAGGAAATGCTGATTTGAAATAAATGTTTTACAACCTCTTTTTCAATCTATTCCAAAGTATATATTTTAAGTAGTAAAACTTAAAATGCTAATTGTGTGGGGGCAATCTGCTTGTCTCTATGGAGATGTTATTACTTTGCCTGAAATATTCCACAGTATGGCATTGAACTTAGTGTTTTATTAAAATTTGCATTGTTATTGTGATGGGTGGCAGACCCTCCATCCAAAAAGTTTCTTAGTATAAAACATTTATTTAATGTACTATTTAATTAGTGCTGTTTTTATAGACCTACAAAGCCGTTTTTACCCAGCTGGACGTTGGATTTTATACTGACTGTAAGGCTGGTCTGTCTGGTACTTTGAAGATATTCCTTACAGATTGCTGGTTACATCAACTAAGACAGCTGTGGTGCATATTTGCCAAAAGCAGCGTGGTTTCATGTGGATTCCCATGATAACACACACATAGGTTTTATGCTAATGACCTGGAAACTGCACCAGACCTCTGTGGTGTCCAAGAAAAATAGACTTCTTGTGGATTCTTTCCACAGACCTGCACCTCACATGTCCCCACACGCACTGCACTGAGGTCAGTGTTAATGACTTTAACTTTAACATTTTGAAGAAAAAAACAGGAAGTGAATTGGTCCCTAGAGATACTTTAGATTCTTATGTACAGACCTCTATTTTTCTCATACCTTGGCAGTTTTGTCTGCACTCTGCCACTTTCCTCAGAAGTGTCAGCTGGTCATCTGATTTAAACAGCCGAAACTGTCCAAGTATGAAACAAATAGA